AGATTTTATTTTTTTCTTTTCTACTTTTTTTCAAATCCTGAACCTTGGTACAACAAAGTACCACACTGTGTTTTGTGGGTAATAGTTGTCTTCTTCTTTTATACCACACTGCTTACTGCTTGTGGCTATACCTGCTATAATATCCCAGCAAAGAACAGAGCATGTTCAGCAGGTCCAGTTTGTGGAATTTTCATTTACACTTGTATGAAAAGTTTTCTCTGTTTTAAAACCAGCCTCCTCTGTGTATCTCATAGTGTAAGGAGAGACCTCTAAGTTAAGTAGATATAATAAGSTTTTGCAGTTTGAAGTCAGCTTACATAGAAAGAATCAGGCAGGAAACATTCAGMAAATTCTGTCTGAAAATACGGGAAAATTTGGCATGCCCTTCAAACTGATGGAATATAATAAAACACATACTTTCATATGTGTGTGCTTATAAATATATAAATGTACATGTCTTCACACACACACATGTGATTAGTTCATTCAGTTTTCCATTATGAAAAAGGGGGGAAATAGTCCATTTTGGGGGACTTCATATATGTTAATAGCATTTCTTTTCAATACCACTAAAAGGGATTTCAAATTACTTTTTATCCTAAACATGTCTTTGACGATGATGGTAATTTTTAAACCCATGCTTTTCCTGAAAATAACACCAGTACAAACCATCTACCAAAAGCAAATGCTAGACTTTTCCATTCATTCTGGAAATACAAACTAAACTATGTGTTTTTTGGGGAGTGTGATTTTTTTTCTTTCTTTTTTCTTTTTCTTTCTTTTTTTTTTTTCTGTCAGTCAAGGGTTTTTGCAATGTCTTTAAGTGTACAGTAGGGAGTTCATTATTTTTTCATTCACATTATTAGAAGTGAGTCTCATTCGCAGCTGAATAATTAGAACAGGGTTATATATTGAAAGCACTGTTTTTGCTTTTAGGTGAGGACAAACGTAGAAGGCAGCAGTGCTTGTGAGTAGTTCTGGGGCTGGTTGTCCAGCTAAAGCATGCCACGGGTGGCTGATTAAAACCTTTGACAGCTTGCAGCCTGGGTAGGACACACCACCCACTTCCTAAAACCCTTGAGCATCATCAGTATTTGAGTGTGTAAAACAGTGCATGTGACACTATTTCCAGCCCTCTTAGCTTTTCAGTGAAGCTSCTTCCTTGTCTCTGGCAAGARCATAKYTTGTATTTCCCCTTCTTTTACTGAMMRCTTCTGCAGTCTTTTGTGCCTGCCTGTAAAAGAAAAATTTTGCATCAATGTCCATACTATTTGGGGAAAAGGCCATTTACTTGTTAATTATGATATACGTTCAGCCCAAGTCTATACTCAGCGAAGGCAAAACTGGTAAGATTCCCTGATCAAGCGACGTGTCACACTGGCATCTGTTCTGCATGCCAGGACATCTTTTCGGGTGTCTTCATACCTGACAATAAAGAACTGTTACTCAACAACTSTCAAGGAAGTTTTCAGAAAGGTCTAGAAGAGGTCAGCTTAGTTGAAAACAGGGTAATTGAGATAAGCAGAAATAAGAAAAAATTATTCTTAAAGTTATCCAAATAACATAAAAAAGATCAGGTACTCTGGAAATCTCTGTGTAACAATGTGGTAATGACAGCCAAYAGAGCATGAGGAACAACATAGAAAAGAGGTCAAAATCTGTAAATAATAGTATGTTTCCCCATTCTGTATGTATCAGAAATAGTATGTTTCTGATTTTAAAACCAAGGGCTTCCACATTCCTTTYGGAAGTAATAGCACTGGGGAGGAATTCAGTGTAAGGTGGAAGRGGTGGTTCTTTCTGTTGAAGAACGAACAGAGCCAAGGGGAGGGAAAATTTCAGAAAACACTGCATGTGAGAAATCARRGAGACAYGGCAATRCTGGAATATAGCAGCTCAAAGAAAGAAGTTGCTCAGAGAAGCATGGATTAGTTACGTGAGTTGAGGCCTCAGTGGTGGCAAGGAGGAACTTAGAAGGACAGAGAAGAGTGACTCAAGTCCAGTGCAATTAATGCAGTACTTAGCTGCAACTAAGCAAGGAAATAACCTYCTTGAAAATTAATGTGGGTAGGAAAAGCCTTTCCTTCCTTAGTTCTGTCATTTCTAGTCACTCACTTTGAGTTTTCCATATTGGAAAGTTTTAAAATTGATTTTTGGCAATGATAAAAATGGTAAACTCTTTTCAAAACAGTTTCATCTTTCAATTTTGTAGTCCCATCAAAAAAAAAAAAAAAAAAAAAAAGCCCTGAATTGTAATGGTTTGCAGAAATGATAAATCACTGTGAAAAGCTAAAGAGAGTTAACTGTCATCTGCCTGTTCCAGTGTAAGAACTTCTTGGAAACCAGTTGAAGTGGCTAGATCAGAGCAAACACTATTGGGAGGTGGAGGGGCTGGTTGGTTTTTTGTTTCCTAGCAGTATATAGTTTAGCTGCAGATGTCCCTGCCACAAGATGTTTTAGGTGTTATCACAGGATGGAAGCCCCCTCAGAGCTAAAAAATAGGCATCACTGCTGGTTCAAATCTCCACGAGCTGGTGTCTGAAAGATTATCAAGGCAGATAGAAGTAGAAGGCAGCGGTGTATTTTTCCCTTGGCTGTGCTTTTGGACACCGAAGAAGATGCCAAAGCCCTTTGGCCTGATTCAGTACAGTACTTTTGTTCACCTGCTGGTGTTCCACCCAAGTGTTCTTGGAGAGGTCATTCCATCTCATGCTGCTGTGACATAATCTGGAACCTGATCTGCTGGAAACCTCCAGATGGGCCAATGCAATTCTAATTCCCCTTGGGTGCAGAAGAATTCAGAATGATCAGAAAAATGAGATTAATTTTCTAGATAGTCTTCTTTGTGATACCAAGCAAAATACTTCARTGTGATTGCAGTTCCACTAATTGTGCACTCATGCTGTTCTCAAGTATGATTTGCAAAAGTGATGAGCAGTGATACCGGAGAAACTAGGCTTTGAGTATTGATATWAATGTTCTAATTCCAAGCTAACAGGTCCTTGACATTTTAGATAGGTACTCATTTAGTAGATGGTTTTGAACCTAATCTTTTCTAGGTCTTGCTTATGAATAAGTAAATAAGGTGATATTATCCTTCTTAYCTCAGTGAGTGCTGGGAAGAATTCTAAGGAATTGTAAAAGTAAAYGGTTTTTCTGCTGTTTAGTGCTGATAAGCTCTGTGTACAGAGTGTGGCACAGAAATGAACAGTCCAAAGCTGCACTTGAAGAGTTTGGAATACATCAAGTTCCAAGGCTGAAATGCAGGTATAGACATAATACTGAAAGCTTTTCAGCTTCTGAGTGTGATCATCAAATGCATTAAAAAGGGATATTTTGTAAAAATGCATTTTACGTAATTAATGTATGTGGTTGTGTACATGCAGTGTGTGTAAACCAAAGCAGCTCAAGTTGCATAAGGGGTTAAATTTTGTTTGCTTTCATTTTTGATGCTATATTTAAATTTTGAATGATGCTGCTATGTGTTTGCAGATTTCAGTTATTCCCTTTGCTTCTTCTCCTAATTAGAAGAGATCACAACTTTGACCTGAAGATGAAACTGTTACACAAAATTGCTTTATTAATTAAGATTTTTTTTTTAGTTTAGCGGCTCTGTTGTTTTAGGGTAAGCTTGAGGAAATTCAACTTCAATTATTTMATCTATACCTATGAGAAGTAAGAAAAGAAAAAGTAAAAGGAAAGAAAAGGATTATTATATTAGAATATGCAGGTATTGGTGACCAAGGAAAGTCTCAGTTTTAGGCAGGACACTATTAATKCTTATTTATATATTGCATTGCATAATTTGGTCAGAGGACTTTATTCCCATTATTTTAGATCTTACTAGTCTTTTRAAGAAATTTATGTGAAAAAAAGAAGAAAGGGTAGAATCCTTAGTCACTCTGAAATTGTGTATTACTCACAATGCACCATATAAAGCTTAGCAAATCAAAGATACATGGCATACCTTTTTATTCCAGCTTTGCTTATTGTTTTTTAAAATTTATTTTAAACACGTGACATCCCCAGGACAATTCTTACCTTCTCATGCAGGACAGGCAGGTGTAAATCTTGCCAGGTTCCTTCCTAGAAAAAGAAATTTGTATGTGAAGATCTCTGGATACCACATGGATTTAAAAATACATTAAGAACAACAGGTCAGCCTGTTCTGTGAACAAAGGAAGWCATGTAGAGGAGCAGTGCTGAGCAATGTGCTGAACGACAGCCACATGGGATCCTTGGAGTCTTGGACTGTGTGACAAAGCTTCACCAGCACAGATAAGGTTGCRGGGGTGTTGAAAATTAATAGAGACGTAGCTGGTGTAACTGGAGTGACAGAATCCTTGTCATGCCTGCAGAATAGGAGGAAAAGCCATAGGAGGAAATCCATATTCAATTCACCTTCACAGAAGCAATCAAAGTATTTTGGCAGAAAGTCTTCTCCTGCCAGCATACTTTAGTTTTTGAGGACTCTTCCAGCACAATGTTCTGGTATTCATATCTAAGACTGCTTATGGCAGATGAACTAGGAATCAGAATTTAAAAACAGTGCAAATAATCATTATTGAAAACTTGTCTTCCTATTACTTATTTAGAAGAATTGATAAGTTTTTGTGGATTTTTTCATCTGTTAATTTAGTCATTGGAGAATAACTTGGCTTCTTCTGATGCTTTGTAGGGAGGAAAAAAGGATTTTTTTAATAGTTAAGCATAAACTCCTTGCTCTCATATTTTTAAGCCTGTCACTTTATTAAAGTTTTAAGTTATTTAGCTTCTCATCATTTTGCTTGCTGCTTACACCTGARAGTAATGGGAGATGTTTAGGAAGAWTTCCAATGGAAGCAGAAAAATAAAATGTCCTAAGTGGGTGGTGATTCTCCCTCACATGACCAGAAGGAAAACAAACTGTTTGGCTTTTGGCTGTGCTTGCTGCTAAACACCCTGTCAKAGTGTGTGAGGTGAGTCACGACTTATTTATTTATAGCCACGGCCAATCAAAGCCGACCGCTCTGAACTTCATTCAAGACCAGCAGCACTTAGGATGTCTTGTAAACATTTGCTCTCTGAGCAAGGAGCATTCTTCCTGGCGGTGAGCAGCACAGGTGCCCAGCTGGTGGCTCCTAAAATACAAAACAGACTCGAAGATCATTGCCTGGATTACCTAGATTGGTAGAGAGAGAGAGAGAGAAAATTCCCTTTTGCATCTGAAATGCCAGACAGTGAGGATCTGGGACACGATGACAGGTACTGTACTTTGCTTGTGCTGGCCCTCCCGTGCAGTGCAGGAAGGACTGAGGCTTCATGTAATTAATCTGTGTGTGCTGCTGAGTGCTCAGCCTGAGATCAGTTTTCTCTGCGTTGTAACAGATCTTCTGCTTCTTGAGGGCTTTGCCTCTAAGGCTGTCCTTCTCAGGATGGAAGTGTGAGTCTTAATGTGTGATAGAGGGTAAATAGAACTGCTCTTAGGTACGTCTTAAACTGAGGCTGAAGGGAAGAAAATACCATGTGGTTTCTACCTGGTCACTTTTCCCTTCAAAGGGAAATGTCAGGCATGGCAATAGCTTAGTTGGAGCCATGCTACTGACAGATCCCTAACTCATTTCTRTGAGACAGAGCACTATGTCTGTTTGAGGTATGCCTGTCTTTCTGAAGTTCAGGTTTAATTTAGTTAAAATAAAAACCTGATAAAACCAACAGTCAGCACAAAAAAAAAATATAATTGGATCCAAAACTTGATAACAATTAAAAAATGACTGTTTTATCAAATATGATCCAGCACTTTCCTATGTAATAATTAAATTTAATAATTAAATTACTAATTAAATTTAACCAAATAGATCTTAAAATAGATATTTGAAAAATAGATGTTATTAATGTTTGTCTATGAAAGAGTTTACAATCTAGGTTTCTTGAAAGTCCAAATGTTGTTTCTAAAATGATTTTAAGGAAATACTTGATGTTGCAAAAAAATATGTGTCATGTATGTAGAAGTAGACCCTTTTCCTTTTTTTTTAGAAGTTAGTTAACAAAATGCTAGAATATAGAGGGAACTTTAACAAATTAAGCAATTACAAGGATCAGAAGTGAGCATTTCGTTATGGCTTTGGATTTGATTTCTTCTTGTTAAATTGAAATGTGAACATTTAYGTGGATGTTTTTCCAGTATGTATGTCAGTGTGTTGTGAGATGAAATACAGAAGGTAGTTCTGGTTGTTGCAGAGCAGCACATTCAAGCACAGTCCCTAACTGGATGAGCGTGGGTGAATGGGTCCCCAGAGGCATAATTGGGTCTCTGCAGGGGTGGGGTCACCTACGCATTTCCGTTTGCAGGGATATCTGAGTTGTGCCCTATATATATGGTATRGATTACAGTTAACAGTAGTAGCAGGTAGCATTTCTTCTTCTCTTTTAAGGAAATGTTGACTCATTATTGATGGCCGCCAAAGTGTTAATTGCTATGCTTTAAAAAATGTGTAGTGAGCTCTCCACTTTGTAAATTGTTTATTTTTCAATAAAGAAAACCAGAAATATGTGTGATTCCTTCAAAAGGGTTTTGCCTTTGTAATAATATCTAATTTATTTTGCTCATAATTCTTTCTCTGTAAAGGCTTGCAGCAAGCTTTGGCAGTTAAGCAAAACTAGGCCTAAGACTCGAAGACCTCTGTTTCTATCAAAGGTGGGGGTTTTCTTTTGGTTTTGGAAGAAAAAAGATGAGCTTTTCTAAAGCAGTAACCTGGAAAAGYATAACAGAGCCTGCTCTGCCCATTTATCATTTTGGAAGCTACCATTAAATTAACTGACCCTGATGCTCACCCCTCATCCTTTTGTGTCTTTGCTGTTGAGCAAAAAGGTTTGAGAAAGTAGTTTAATCAAAAGGTTCCAGGTTTTTTTTCTGAAATTAATTTGCCTTTTTGTCTTGGTCATAACAAATAGGATATAACTGGAGAACATTGCTAAAGAAGTGCTAATGAGGTTTGGTGGAGGTCAGAATATTTTGGTCCAAGTTAAACAAGAGGGAATAGRAGGAGGAGCTGTGGGAGCTGTACAGGAGCAATTAATCTTAGAATTGCAAAAGAAGAAATTGTAATGTAAATGCACAAATAATGGTGTAATTTTAAGGGCACGTTGAATCAAAGCTTCAGCTTGTATGTATTTAAAAAAGGACAGCAGTAGCATTTTTTTTAGAAGCTGCAGAATGAGCTTTGATTCCTGATTGGTTTCAGTACACTGCCCTCCTTGCAGGTCCTTTTCAGATGCAAATACTTCTTACTTCCTCTCTTCTCTTGAGTTCATGTCCTACTTCAGAAAACATGTAATATTGTGTCACAAGTGTATTTCATGAACATTGTTACATCATCGTTAAATATGTGGCATTGGTCAATAGTCTGTTAGTCATGCTGTGAATTTAAATGAAAAATAAGCAAGGGAACAGATGCAYAAATACTTCTCAGTAAGGGATCTCTAGCCAAAAAGCTAAGAGTTGTGAASAGCAGGTACCCACTCCTATCTTCTGTTTTGTTTTGGCACATGATCATGGGTGGTAACAGATGAAGACCAGTAAGGAAATACGTGGCCACAGATAGAGGATTGAAAACAATTGCGCATAAGGAGATATTTTCCCCTCSGTAATTCTTTATCAACAGGTCCACCACGGTTTTGGTGCAAGACAGTATAATTTTTTTTTTTTTAATTGACAATTTGTGAGGTATCTAATGATAGTTAAGAATGTATAAAGGATATTGTGAACAGTCCTGAACTGGTGGAAACATGTGGAACTCTCAGTAATGCATGAGAGTAATAAGTGATAACCTACTTGTACAAAATACATTAAAAYCCACTGAAAAGAATCAAAATTATGTTTTGTACAGAAAAAGTCAAAGTCACCTTGTTAAGTAACACAGGAAGTAATTTTWAAAA